TCAAAGTTTACAACAACAATCAGTGCTCAGCATAAAATTGTTGGATAAAGAAGCAGTGGAAGAGCTTCGAGAAAAGCAATTTTGAATTTAGAAGTGGCAACATTAAAGTAACTGGCAAAAATGTCACAAGATCCAAGTCAATGCTTGTTTTTGTTTTTTTTTTGTGCATTGCTTTTGGTTTTAGTTTCTTTATACTTATATATGTAGACAATTAATTCAAAAACTAACTGCGTCAACAATAATTCAGTGTCGTGCGTAGCATCGCAAGACACAACATTCATATTTTGTTAAAACAAATAAAGTTTAGAGCGTAGATGATATTAACGATTACTCAAATTTGCATATCTAATCAAACTGGCATCCATCGATTGGTTAATCCCGTTCACCTAGCACGCAAGCACGCTGACTGGCCTACTGGCTGACTGCGCCGCTGCAGCATGCAGATTGTCTGTAAAGTCGACTGACAGCTAAATTTCCAAATCATAACTAATTGCAGCAGACAAGTTGCAGCTCAGGGGTATCTACCACAGCATTAGCAATTATAGCAACGTCACCGGCAACCAGTTGTGCGACATAGAATGTAGCAATAGGGTGGTCCAAAAATGCATGCGAGAAAAGTAAAGTCGGAATTTTGATGCTCTCACTGCCTAGGATTATTCTATATCGATAAAAAAATTTAGCCCGTTCTTTTAAACACAAAATTTTTAGAGGTCACTCAAAGCCGCCCAAAGCTTCGCAGGTATTTTATGTGGGAAAAAAACTATTTTGCGTCGAAATGATATGGAATCCTAGAAAATCACTTTTTTCATTCAGAAACTTTGTTTGTCTTCAGAAGATTTCGGAGAATAATACCCAATTGTTTATTTAACCATTTTTTAATATTAACGATTTTTCTTACACTCTTTGGGTTTTTGGGAGACTCATAAAAAATAATTTATATTAAAATATGGTTAAACACTGCACTACATTACGACTTTCAAAAATTCCATACCATTTCTAAGAAAAATTTTATTTTTTCATATAAAATAATAAGAAATTTTGAACCACCTCTAAATATTTTTTGATTTCAAAAAAAAAAAACAAGGGTATATTTTTTCGATACAAAACAATCATTAAAATTCCGACTTTACTTTTTTTTGGACCGCCCTAATGTATCAAAGTTGTAATCTCCGTACTAGTATGTAGTCACCTAGCAGCCACTAAACGCTTTGCCAAACCAGCCAAGCCATTGGCGAGCGCCAACATCACTCACTCAAGTAAATTATTGCCTCGAAGTTGCTTTGTGTTGAATGGCGAACGCTTTAAAATGTATAATTTTTTTTTGCTGTACATTAGTTACATCTTCATTACATAGATATGTGTATTTATGATTGTGCTTTCATAGAGCTAAGAGTCGATTTGTTGGTTTTTTTGTCATCTTCTTTATCTGAAAATGGTAATATTCGCTTTCCATATCAACGCATTTTTTTTTGTTTCTTCTTCTGACTTCCCTTCGCTTCTTTGCTCTGAATTTACTTCTTTTCATGCATCACGCACTCATCACTTTGTTGTTTCATTTGAAAAGCTTTTAACAACTTTATAATTATGTTTATTTATTTGTTCATTTCATTGGTTTTAAAGTTTTGTTTACTACTCACTAATTGATCCGTTGACTGTTCGACATTGGCAATGTCATTGTAAATTATTTTTTGCTAATTTTAGTTTAACTAAATGAATATTTATATACATACATAGGTAACCATATAAATTTTAACCAAGCCATTATTTCATCAATGAAATACAGGAATAGACAAACTCTAGGTTACATTGGTGAAAAATACATGGCCGGTGCCGAGGGTAAAGGCATTGTGGAACATGAAATGGCCTTCGAACTTCAACACTTGCCGGACTTTTGAAATTACCGAAATATTTTTATTGGATAAAAAAAAAATATCAATCTAGTCAGAGATTTTCTATCTTTTGGTCGTATTACCGACTTCCGGTTTCGACCGGAAGTGCGTTAAACTCCGCGGTTTTACCACAGATTCGGATTTTGCAAAACAAAAAATAAAATAACTTTTTTCTGAAATGTACTTAAGCTTAAAATAATGAACTTCCGGTATATTTAACTCACTTCCGGTCGGAACCGGAAGTTGGTAATATAAAAAAAGGATCACCGAGTCGGTAATTAATACTAATTCGTTTTCCAATAAAAAATTTTCTCCACTACAATTTGAAGTTCGAAGATTATTTAGCGGTTGAAAAAGGCACTTCCGATAAAAGGGTTCCAAACAAATGTTACGTATTTTTATACTCAGAAATCAAATGCGTAGTAAAAATATGTATATATGTGGATCACAGTGCATTGTCTTATAGGCAAAATTAACATAAAATAAAGTGCTTAGAATATTTAAGTGATTTTTGTAATAGATTTGGAAGTTTAATATATCATCTCCTCTTGTTGCTAACAGCAGAGGGCGCTAAAGCCAGAAAATTTCTGAGGAACAACTGTTGAACGGAAAAGCGACTTTTACTGTGTTATAAAACAAACTTGTCAAAAATGCTTTTTTAATACGTTTTAAAGTGCTTTAGTAGAGTTTGTGAAGAAGTTTAAAATTTTCCTGCCGGAACTGTTAAAAGTATGCGCATTTTTTAAGCCATATTTCTTATGATTCAGAAAAAGAGCAGGCAAAGAGCTAAGTTTATCGATTTGCCAAATTTTAATAAATTGAGGTATTTTTCTTTTTAAGTATACTACAAAACCTGAACTTAGTTTTGATGTGTTGTATAATTTTTATTAAATAGCGACAAACAATAACAAAAAAATTGGAAGTAATAACAGTTTTTTTTGACGGAAACCATAAATTTTTATTTTTCATACAGATACTTCGTTAAGAGACNAACTTCGGAGAACAATTCATCTCAAGAAATGGACCGGTAAGTTGGCCACCAAGATCATGCGATTTGACGCCTTTAGACTATTTTTTGTGGGGCTACGTCAAGTCTAAAGTCTACAGAAATAAGCCAGCAACTATTCCAGCTTTGGAAGACAACATTTCCGAAGAAATTCGGGCTATTCCGGCCGAAATGCTCGAAAAAGTTGCCCAAAATTGGACTTTCCGAATGGACCACCTAAGACGCAGCCGCGGTCAACATTTAAATGAAATTATCTTCAAAAAGTAAATGTCATGGACCAATCTAACGTTTCAAATAAAGAACCGATGAGATTTTGCAAAGTTTATGCGTTTTTTTTAAAAAAAAAGTTATCAAGCTCTTAAAAAATCACCCGTTAGAAATTAGTAGGAAAAAAATTTAAAATTTTCTGCCAGAAATTGAAAACTTTGTATTTTTTAAAAACATCTAAATTTTTTAATTTTACAAAGGCAAAAAATATAAACTTATACGTACATATATACAAATTTTGTGTCACTAAACAAACTAAAAATTCAAAATGAAATTACGTTAATTGATAGAAGTCTTATTAATAATTTTGCCTTAATTTAGAGATGTATCCTGCGGAATCCCGGTGAATGTTAGAACGTTTAAGGAGCTGCTAAATATTACTTGAAACTCATATTTAATTCAATATGGTTAATTTACATGCCAAATACCGGTCATAAGGTTTTAGTAGTTACATGGGTGTGATGTTTTAGGAACACTTCAACTTGTCAATAGGTAATAAGAAAAAAAAAGAGTTTTAAGAATTTTATTATTTATTATTATTTTATTCTCTTGTAAAGCCTTAGACGCCAGTCATTCAAATATAAGAAATGTGCGATATTCCCGCACAAGAAAAACGACGAGAGATTAATGGCTAATTTAGAAATATTTTTATTTATGAGCCTTTTTAAAGAAAATATTATATTATACATTTTTCTCAATAACTAAAATTCATAAGGGAGGTAGTCATTTCCTGATACCAAGAATATGTTATTTTTAGTTTTTAGTACATTCTGATCATAAATGTAGCTATAATCTAGTTTTTGATAAAAAGGATATATGGGAGGTAGTCATGTGCTTGCACTAAACAAAACAAAATTTGGCACAGACCCTACGGACATAATTTCACATACAGCTACCAGTTTTAGCTTTATTGTGTTTATAATTATTGCTAAAATTAAACTTTTAAAATTAAAGATGTATAGGAGATAGTCATGTCCTTGCATCGAACAAAACGAAATTTGCCACAAAGCTTAAGAACATAATTTCACAAACAGGTAGCTGACCAATTTTTGGCTTTATTCTGCTTATAATTGTAGCTAAAATTAAGGATGTACTGGAAGTAGGCATATCCTTGCACTGATATTGCCGAAACTTCTAATTTTTCTTAATTTACATATTCTGAAGTAACACACCAAATTTAATTTTTCTTCGATAATTCCGCAAATTTTTCCCATTCACTGTATAACTACAAATATATAACAAGAAAGAAAAGTTCAAAATCAGTGAAGTAAAATGATTTCCCAATAACAGAAAACTATCGGGAGAAATTCAGTGACATTTTTATCGATTTTTTTCCCCTCAAATTATTTTATTATAATATTAAATTCAAATACAGCTTCGTTTTATTTTAGCACATCTAGATTTATTTTTATTGATTCTATGCGCATTTTAGAATTTTTAATAATTTCCATGAAAAGCCAAAAATTAAATAGCTTAAAGTTATAGTTTTCCTTTAAAAAAATAATATTAGTTAACAAGTTAAAAAGTCTAAGTGCAGGCGAAGCCGAACATTAAATACCTCTATTTCAAATATCTTCGATAGTATGTTCAGTTAGACACATAGAACTATACATAGTTATAAGTGGGCGGTACCAAGCCCATTATCCAAAACTACATAAAAATGTTATTTCTCTTTAAGAGATTGTTGTGAGTATCAATTTTGAGTAAATTAGCATCCTTAAATTTTCAAATATCGAAGTTTCAGCTTAGTCCGATTTCAAAAATTTTCCACGTCTTGCTTTTATGTGGCAAGTACAATAATCATACCGAGTTTGGAACAAATTGATAGCTACTCATACTCGCATGACACACCCTGCTTCTCTCTCACCAAATTCCATTTGGTGCACTCTGGGTGTATGAGTATCCTGTCACTGGCAAAGGCGCATGAAATTTCTTCCCATGTGGCGTTGCGCCTAGATAAGAAGGAGCGGCGTACGTTGCTGAGCCGAGGAAAGGCGGTGATGCTGCATATGCCACTCCGCTGCCATAATTCACATTTGATGCGCCAAATGTTACCGGCGCTGCGGCGGCATATGCGAAAGCCAGTGGGGATCCGATATTGTGCACTGGCGGCGGCGGCGCCGCAAAGCCCACAGCTGTGGTATAAGTTGTTGTTACAGGCAGTCCAGTTGTAACCTTTACACGCGGTTCTGTGCCATATTTTACATATGAAGGTGCAACAGGAGCAGCATAATGAAATTGTGGTACCGACGAAGCGTAACTGACAGGATGAGCAGCAAACACAAACGGGTTAGCGGCGCCATAAGTCTCTAGCGGTGGAGGTGAATCACAGGGTAAAGGTGCGGCAAAAGCTGGACCATGCGATGGCGAGTTGAAAACGCTCGGAAAGCTAGCATAACTTGCTAAGGCATAGCGATGAAATATTGTTAGCGTAAGGCAGATGAGTTGTGATAAGTGCTGAAATTAAAGAAAAATATAAATAAAATTTCGAAGATTTTCGTGCAGAATGCATTCATTCACAAGTCAACATACTTTTTTAAACATTTTCTGTATTTGGTATTTAATATAAAACTTTGTAGGTAGTTTACGCTGCTGGCTCGTCTAGTTGAATGTTTACCCTTTGCTTTTCGAATTTGGTTTTATAGTGCGTCGTTGGTAGCGCCGCCCGGGCGTGGACAATGTTACTTGCACTCATTTGCATATTGCGTTTTGCAAATGGTTTTGTCACAAAACTTTTGTGAGTACATGTGTACTTAACGACATGTTTGTCGTGCCTCCAAAGCACGCACAACTCTTTTTATTATTATTATTCCTGAAAACAAAAAATGCTGAAGGGAAGACTACGTACCGAATGGCTCGATCACTTCCATTTCCCCTGTTGCAAGTACACACGTCATGTTCATCGATAAATTCGCACGTGTGGCTAAATAAAAATCGTTTTTACAGCATATTATATAACACCTGGTGTAAAAGCATTCAATAAGCTCGTTTCATCCATTACCATTGAAAACATCGATCAAACTGTTAATTCAAAATTACGCAATCGAGCACACAAATTCATTTATATATTTATGCATATACATACAGTACATATTTACTAGTATATATTTATAATTAAAGTCGTGGTATAGTACTTTAAAAGACTTATAATTAGCTATGCATCTGTGGTGTAGTCAACAATTTTTATAATTTTTGTCTGTCTGTCTGTATGTTTGTAGGCGCATAACTCGAAAACTAATGCATGGAAATTGAATTCAGTTACCACCGACGTATTTCCAGAAGTCTAACTTAAAACATAAAAGCAAAAAATTTTAAAGAGTTGCCACCTTTTTGAAAATTGCAGTTTAGGTAATTTGATAAGATCAAGTAAATATTGTAATAGGGCTATCAGAAGAAAGTGGTTTAAAGTGGAAACGGCTTAAAGCCAAAAATATTTTTGTGGAAGGTTGCCAGCTGTTGGAAAATTTAAATTAAATTTAATTGATAAGATAAATTTATATATAGCAATATGGGTATCAAACTGAAGAGGTTTAAAAAATTTTACTGCCAAAAATATTTTTGAGGAAGGTTGGCACCTGCTTGTAGAATTTTATCCAATTAAATGGGTAAAATAAATGAAATATTACAATGCGGGTATCGAACAACGCCAAAATACTTTTAGGGCGCAGTTTGCTAGTTGTTGAATAAAAATTAAAAAAAAAAATTTACAACATTTAAAATTTTCCGTGTGCAATTCTTTTCTATTAAGGGTTAACCTATAACTGTTTTCAACTAGTTTTTATTATATAACTCTCCTTAACAGGAACAAGAAATCGATTTTCTTCAAAATTGCTACTTTCTGTGGAAAAAATTTAATAACAACAAACAAATATTTAAAAAGTAGCTCTCTAAACCTCTTAAAAATTTACTTATCTTTATATTAAAAAAAATCAATTGAAAATCCGTCAGAACATTAGGATGTAGACCTTTATAAATAGTAGATTTGGCGTTTGCATTGAAAAATTACACTGAAGATGGCACAACGCCGAAGCAACGCAAATTTGACAAGGGATAGTGTAAAATCGCCCCGCAGTACATCATGCTCCTCCACCAACCACCGCCGGAAACACCAACAACTCATTTACTGATCGCCAACCTACAAAATTGCAAAACTGATTGGCCCCATAACTGACACCACAATCTTAAACAGGCAAAAAAGGAAAGAGTTTCGAGTTTTCGGTCAGGCATCACTGTTTGGAAGCCAGAATTTTTAAGTAGTGGAGGACTTTGACTACTTAGGATCCAGCATTAAAACCACCTGTAGTATCAGTTTGGAGATCCAGCGAGGAATAACTCTTGCCAGTAGGTGACACTTTGGACTCGCTAGGCAATTGAAAATCAGAGTTCTCCCTCGACAGTGAGTAATTGGCTTAGGACCTAGAAATAATATGATTCAGGAGGCCAAAAGCTCATGCCTAGGCAGGGAACTGGTCGAAAAACCAGACTACGATGACCACAAGTAGATAAGAAAAGGACAAAATAGTCGCTCAGCCTCACAAGACAGGATATTGCGACGGTCACGGCTTTTATAACCGGTCATCGGCTATTTGGCAGGCACTCTTCGAGACTAAAATATTCTCCCACGAATATTGCAGAAGTTGCAGCGATGAGGAAGAAACCTTAGTGCATTTCTTTTGAAGTTGCCCAGCTTTGGCCAAGAGCAGTGTAGACTTTTTCGGTAGGCACTTCTTTAGCTCTCTTATGGAGTCATGAAACGTAGGAATACAGCCAGTCTTACTTTTTATAAGAGCTTCAAAATGGTTCTATGAGAAATAGTCACTGAGGTTCCCGTGTTTCGCAGTGGTATCACAATGGACCTTGAAGGTCGGCCTAAGTGAGTTGGTTATTTGCACCGACTGGGAACCTACACTCAGTAAGAGCAAGGTTCGGAGCAACATCCAAGAAAAAAAGTTGTATCTTAAGAGCGGTCGCCCTTCGGCAGGAAAATCGCCGAGTGTATTTCTGCTTGAAAAGGCCTTCATAAAACGATTTTCCGTTCGTAGGAAGCGTGAAATTTAAGGTCACTCCATTTCGGTTATATTTAATATCAGGACGCACACCGAAAATTGTAGCAGAAAGTTGGCCAAAGACTTAGCAAAAGGTTAATGGTCTGATTATGGCAACTTAACGTAACTTACGGCTCTCTCTTAAAAATTCTGTTAAATAGGTGTTGCTTATAATTGAACAGCCGAAACTGAACGTAACTTAATGTCACGTCGAAATAAATAAATAAATAAATCTGTTTCATTTTGATTCTCTAAGTTCTACGTTCCGTTAAGTTAAGTTGCCATAATCAGGCTTTAAGCGCCAAACTATTAATAAGTGCCTTCTCTTTCAAAATAGCGTTCATTAAAAATCCATAAATGCCCGCCTAATCTCACTTCCTGTCTACGGAAAGAGCGCACACCCACAGGCGCAAAGTAGTGCGTTAAACGTAAATAGCAAACATCACATAAGCGTCACAACATAACAAATAGCACGCGTGCAACAAGTGCCACTTACCGACATATATACATATAAATGTACAACTACATACGCACCTATATAACTCACGTACGCATCTTATTAGTGACTGCTAAATCCAACAAAATCCTCCCTTTTGCTCTACTAAGTATGTAGATACTCTTACCTTCTTTGAGTTACGAAAGCTAGTTAAAATATTATGCACAATGGCGAAAGAGATACATAAGAACGTGTGCTCAAAGTGGCAGTCTAAGTATGTCACGCGCTCCACGAAATGAAGTCTCCATATCGAGACGAGTGCGCTTTTTGATACGTGGTTTTAGGCTTTGTCTGTGTGGTACAGTGGATTCGAGTGAAAAGAAGTATTATAAAAATTATCAAATGAGAAAATGTTCAAGTTTTCCTCATCGCGTATGTCGTCTTATGCGAGATATTCCTTCTTAAAACGTACGGTTAATAAAAAAACAATAATTATTTTAGACTGTACGCGACCGAGTGAAAAAGTGGAGTGGTGGTAATACGCACCTCTAACTACTCACCCACAGATTGGGTTAGCTGGGGAATTTCGTTTGACTCCATTTTGCATTAACCTCTACCACTGTACTATTTTGATTAAGACGCCGTACTTGTGGCAATATAATAAACGTCAATATTCTTATTTGTGAGCATCATACCAATCATTCTACCGATGCCGTTATTGTTTTACTTACATATGTACGTATTCATGAATATGTATGTAGATACATAAATGTGCGTATGACTTATGGCTTTGTGACTTTTTTCTACTTCCCTCCTCAGCTAAAGCTTATGCCACCTCTTAAAATCTACGCAGATTTGCGAATTCTCATTATCATACTCATAGCCGATAAATATTGACGCGTGCTGGATTTTGGTCACATAATCATCATCTGCGTGTTTATAGCTCCATAATGTTTATTGTTTATAGACATGTGCTCAATTACCTTTTTATTATTATTGAGTTATGGGATTTTGTATAAGACTCATATTTATGTATGACTTTGCTGTGAGAGATTTGCTTCATATTGTGATGCACATAAATCACCTATTTAAGGCTCAAGTACGCAATTAAATGATTATCTATTCAGTGGCAATTAACTGGCATATGGGAAATTTTCGCAGCTGCTTTAAGCTAGTTTATGTGTTTACCGCATATCCGAAAAATGTATAAAAATTCTGGTTAAAAAGCTCGAAATTTAGGTAAAAATTGAAAGAGTTTTTTCTAAATTCTATACAAAGTTTTAAAGTGTGATTCATATGGCCTTTGTTAAAGCATGAACCATATATTTATAAAACAATTAAAAAAAAATTCAAATTATTTAAATTTCAAAACAGGTGGCTGCCCTTTTGAAATAAAACTTTCTTAAACCTCTCTCTTTTGAAAACCCATATCAAAATATTTCGTCAACCTTGTTAATTAAACTAATTTTAACTTTTCCATCAGGTGGCAAACATCCTAAAGAATATTTTCGTAAAAACTCGTTCTCGCACTGATTTGCTTTTTACATGCACACAGTTATAATTTTTTATTTAGTTGATTAATTAACGGTTATTAGAATTTGAACAAATGGCAACCTCCTCGAAAAATACTTTCAAAATGCATCGTTTTCTTTTTACACCCTCATTTTTGTAATATTTTATATAACTTTAACTTTTAAAACATGTGGCAACTCTCTTAAAAAAGAATCCTGTATCAAACCAGAGGCCCCTTTAAAAAATACTTAAAGCTTTCTCAAACCTCCTGTTTGTTACTCATATTTAAATAATTCGTTTAAATAGTTAATTAAACTTTGTTTAACATTTTGAACAGGCGGCAACCTTCCGGAAGAATATTTTGGTAAAAAAATTCTTTTTGCGCTCATTTAATTTGCCGCCCATATTATTGTAATATTTTATTTAACTTATTAATTAATCGATTTTACCATTTTTAACAATTGGCAACCCTGTAAAAACTATTTACGAAATAAATCGTTTTGGAATCCCTCCCGGTGTCAAACCTACATTGTTGTATTAATTTATTTAACTATTAATTGATTGACTTTAACTAATGGAAAAGGTGGCAACTCTCTTAAGGAAT